GCTCATGGAGGAAGACGAAAGGGTCTCAACGCCTGGAAATGTCAAATGGCCAGAAGTTGTTCGACGCTGATGATGATGGCATAGTCTGCGGCACTGCGACCCGACCAGAACAAGCCAAAACTCATCACCTAAAAGAACGCTTGTCGTATGGAAACGGGACTTTGGGTTTCAAACGCATGAACATCATTCTCTTCTCTCCGACAAAGCAATACACTTGCTGAAATATTCTAGAATTTGACGTAACCACGCCGAAAAACAATGCGAAGTCGGATTCTCCCATCTGAAGTATTGAAACTTGTTTTTCCACAGAATCAGGGTCTGGGTTCGAGGGAGTGAAGTCACAAATGACAATGGGTCCGTTTGATCCTATAATAGGGGATTCACACTCACGGGGAAACCTGAGGTCACGGGACAAGGTAAAAGTTCAGACCTTCGGTCAACGGAGTGGGGCCGTTCACACCCGTGGTCAGTTTTCCCTTGGCCGTATGTTTGGCAATGGATTTGTGGTGGGGCAATTAAAAAATGATCTGTAACTGCATTTTTGTAGTACGTTCTGTGCACGATTTTCCGAGGGCACTGTCTGAAAATGCAGGTTGCGATGCACCCGTACAACTACGGGTTCAGAGTTCTCGCCAAAGACAAGATCTACACACGCGCATCGTATGGCGACGGGATTTTTCCCTTAACAAATACCCTGAGGCCCACGGCCACGGCTTTGCCAATTTTTTCCCGAAAGGTTCTTCCTTTCCCCCAGTACCATAGTTTTCATAACAACTTTCCCGTAACCGTGGTTTTACCCGTGTGTGTGTGAATCCCCTTTAAGGTGAACTTAAGGAATACTAGTGATAACCACAAGTGCAAGCATTGTACATGAGAAAACACAACCAGGGGTATTAATAGGCCATTCACACGACGTGTAAACACTTGCACGTGTGTGACCAAGATAACACTGGCAAACCGTGATCCAGTTCACACGGTGCTGGGCAAACTTTACAACCGTCAATGTATCCCTAGTGACCTCTTGAAAATACCGGGAAATGTTAAATTTAAAATTTTCCGTTGTTCAAGCAATGCAAGTTTATTGTATCCGAGTAAATATCCTTGGAAACGGTACGATAAAAGTGAGTTTGGACGTCGTGTGAATGGCCTATAAACACCAGTGTGTGTAGTGCAGTATCTGGTGAAAAACATGTTCACGGTCAACATGTGTCACTAGTGACAACAAAAACACCTACACGAGAGTGTAATAGTGATAGACATCTCATCAAGTGTACATAAACAAGAGTGCGCAACTCTCACATCTGCTCAGTTCCATGGGGGAGTTATTCGTCCATACAATGCATGCGCAAAACATGCGATGGGCACTGGACCTTCATTGCGAGTCTCTGTTTCGCCGTCTTGAAACCAACAATTTTTCGTACCAGACGATGGCAATTGTGACGAAACGTTGTACATAAAAGGAATCGGTTCGGTTTGCAGTGCTGTGGGAATGGGTGTGTCCACCCAACTACTCTCTTCAAATTTCTCTCCCTGTTAACCCTCTCAGTGCCATGAGCGACTTTAGTCGCCCAGAATGAGTATGTGTGTACAAATATTTTCGTATCTCCACTTCTACACACAGGAGAGTAACAAACGAGCACTCAACGTCTCCAGGAAGACCTACTTAGTACATCGGTTTGTGTCCGTGAGGATAAACGTCGCCAGAATGCAGGAAATGGACATCGCTCAGGCGCCCTCTCGAGGAAGACTATTTTCACTGCATTTTCTCTTCACAATGGTCTGCCTGACCTTGATATCTTTCCAGAGAGCCATCGTTTGTAAAGATCTGTGGATATACAGCTGAGCTATGAAAACTTTGAGTCCAGCTCAACTCAGAAAAATTTGTATTTTTCTGACCCCCTTGGCACTGAAATGGTTAATTAATAGCTTGTTATCAAACCCATAGCACATTTCAATGAAACCCATCCAAGCCACTCACGCGCCCACAGACTCATAGTTTCTGCCTTGCACAGTATTACAGTCAGACCTCGCATAACCGCACACATCCGTTTTCCACAAAAATATCCGGATAGGCGAGGGAACCGGATAATCAAACACGCACACTGTATGTATGCATGGCATATGCTGTAAATCGGTAACCAACGATTTTCATCCGGATGTCGAGGGATCCAGATAAAAGAGGACCGGATAAGCAAGGTCTGCCTGTACTAAACAGTAGAGCATGTGCAGTGCAGAATCAGGTGGAACACATGTTCACGATCAACATGTGTAAATATTCACAATGTGAACGGCAACATGAGGGGTGTGATGGTGCCACACATCCCATCAAGAGTACATACCCCCCCCCCCCCCCCCCGAGTGTGCAACTGGAATGGGGTTGTGGGACGGCGTAATCCGTGATGTACGTCATTTTTGGGTCAGACTTGCCTCATTCCATCGCGGCGTGGCACCACGTCCACACTTCCTCTACTTATGATGTCATTATTCCCGTAGCTATGCAGAAGACGTTACTTCAGTAACGTCTGGCGCTAGCCAGGGTCCACACAGCTTTAATTCCCGTAGCTATGCAGAAGACGTTACTTCAGTAACGTCTGGCGCTAGCCAGGGTCCACACAGCTTTAATTTGGTGTTTGTTTGTTTGTTTGTTTGTTTGTGTCACGGCTGGAGCTATCCCGTATCTGTCCCGTATCTGTCCCGTATCTGTGACTACAAAGGCTCTACAGGCTGCAGGATTGTACATAACAGCTGTCCACAATATTTGCGGGCTCCTGTATCTGTCCCGTACCGTACCAATATTCGTCGTATTATGTATACGACTCCCTGATGTAGAGGGAGATTTGGAAAGAAATAGGGAGACGAGGAGGAAATTAAATTAGAATAGACGCCGATTATGTGATAGGATGCGTCAGCATAAACATACTTTGGAAGAGAGATCCCGTCGTCTCCAAAATAAGCGCGAACGAGCGATTCAGGGCCGGTCACAGGAAACGTCGGAAGAGAGATCCCGTCGACTCCAGAACGCCCGTGATCGGTAGAGTCCGGCGGTACCAGGCAACGTCAGGACAGACATCCCTTTGAGTCCAGAACGCCCGTGATCGGCAGAGTCTAAGCCGGTCCCAGGAAACGTCAGGACAGACATCCCGTCGAGTCCAGAACGCCCGTAATCGGCAGAGTCAGCGCCGGTCCCAGTAAACAATTTCGACGTGAGCAGCAGGTCACTCGCGTTGATTTTTCGACGTGCGAGCCAAATAACGCGAGCTGAACTTTCGCGTCGCAGACATCCCGTCGACGCGCAGAAAAACTAAATCTGCAGCCTCATTTGCCGTCGGACAGGATACGTATTTTAGGAGACTGTAAAGTTATGTAATGTGCTCCACAGGCAACCATGCATTCGGCGTCGTCATTGGCTCAACAGGTCAATGTACATGTATTACTACAAAAAGGCCAGAAAATCCGATCACTGTATTAAAATCAACTAATGTTCGCTGGCGATTTAATTTCGCTGATTTCGCCGCTTGGTACCAACCGGCCAAAGTAAATCGCAGGCCAACGTTTGTCATATAGGCAAATGATGCATGATTAAGCAATGGATGCATGTGAGAGCCAAAATACCTATCGATTTCAAATTTGACGTGAAACTGCGCGTCACGTCGGAAATAACGTGCATCTTAACCTCTCTAATAGAGAGGTTTCTATTTCTCATCGGCCAAAATTTGTTTATTTACAATATAAGGAGATAAAAAGAAAAGAAGGAGCAAAACAAAAGTAGATGATTATTAGAGAAATAACAATCCGCAATAAATTCTGCAAATACTTTTGCCTAACTCATAATATTCAAACCGATTGAAACGTTTTTGCAATACAGTGATGTGGCCAATCAACGAAAAAGACATTCCCATCAGTCCTTATAACATGTACGATGAGCTAGGCAAAAAAAGCATAAACGCATAGCGTAGGGCCCTGAGCTTCCAAGCTCTCTCGTTTGGTATTTGTGTGTTTGTTTGTTTGTTTGTTTGTGTCACGCCTGGCGCTATCCGTATCTGACGACAAAAAAGCATAGGATGTTATAAATTTTTCAATTGTCCTATTTTTATCAGGCATATCCTGGGATTCGAACCCGCACTATCGCCCTACATGCATCCCCCATACACTTCGCATTCATACCCATTCTTCCAAGTTGCTTCACGCTATTATCTTGCGTTTGAAAGCCCTATTTGAATATTGCGGGCAGCTGTATGTGGCCATGCAAGCTGTGTTTGATGGTACGGTATGGGAGACGGTGTCGTATTACCCTCGATCGTACCTGTCCCGTACATATCCCCTACTGTACCGTGCCATCAAAGACGGCTGGCCACAATGCATATTCAAATAGGGCTTTCAAATGCAAGATCATAATGTGAAACAACTTGGAAGAATTAGTATGTATGCGAAGTGTATCGTACCTGTCCCGTACATATCCCCTACTGTACCGTGCCATCAAAGACGGCTGGCCACAATGCATATTCAAATAGGGCTTTCAAATGCAAGATCATAATGTGAAACAACTTGGAAGAATTAGTATGTATGCGAAGTGTATCGGGGGATGCATGCAGGGCGGGCGATAGTGCGGGTTCGAAACCCAGGTTATGTCTTAAAAAAAGGGAATTTTTTAAAGAATTTATAACATCCCTATGCTTTTTTTTTGTCTAGGTCATCAAGGCAAAAAAGCATAGCGTAGGGCCCTGAGCTTCCAAGCTCTCTCGTTATGACGTGCAACACGGATTTCGCCGTCCCAAATCTGATAAGTGAACTTGCGCACCCTGGGGGGTTATGTACTCTTGATCTCATGGATAGCTATACAAATGTAGGACATGGTGGTGGTAGGTGCACCTCACGTGACTCACGTGACACCTAATCACTGCATAGTTCAACCAATCAAATGAACGACACGCTGTAATGAATACTGTATACACACAGTCCATCTAAATTCAGTCACTCACAGTCAAGTCTATTCAACATAC